TTTTTTTTTTTTTTTTGTTGCGAGGGAAACCATTTTATTTGACAGATTGAAGCAATTCATTTCTGACATATGTTGGTCAACTTTTAGACATATTAAGATTTTTTTTTGTCCACTCCCATTATATTTTTAATGCCTGGCACAGAGGAACAAATAATTGCCAATCAAACCTAGTCAAGTTACCCAAATAGTCTAGATTCCATTATAAAGAGGAAAACGCTTACAATAATTTTCTTTAGATTATCAATTTTGTAAGAGTAATGAATAGAAACCTGTCCTCACTTTTATATAGCTTCAAATCTGTGACAGTTTACAGAATCCATGTTCAGTGCAAATCAAAAATTGTGAGCTAAAGAAAAATCAATTTCCTCTCTGCATATTAACTTGTTGGTAAGCACCTGGGTAACTGGGACTAAGTTAAGCTAATCAAGACAATTCTTTTTAAAATATATTTAGAATGATGATAATGTAAAAAAAAAAAAAAAAAAAAATAAAAAAAAACAGCAAGGCAATTTTTATGGATGAAATAAAAAAAAAAAAAATGAAGATAAATCAATATATTTTTGCTTGAATATAGAAGGTTTCAGGTAATCTACCAGTTTAATCCTCCACTGCATTACATTTTTAGCATCTACAAAAATTGAGTTTTTGAACACACTAATTTATAGAGTATACAAAATGTAAAATGATAAAACAAACCTAAGATATGTAGACATGGTAACCAGGAACATTGAAATTACAATGTTCAAATAGGATAACACAAAGATATCAATTTGCTAAATGAGAAAAATGATTTTATAAAAAAAATATTTAGAAATATATAAGGTGGCATTTAGATTCATTATAAAAAGTATAATTTATTCATTCAGACTGCATGCTCATTTGTAAGTTATAATAATTTATCTTTCAGCCTTTTTCAGATCACCTGATATGACAAGCATAATTTCCAAATCAAAATTTAATGGTATTTGGAGTTGTTGGCAAGTAAACAAGATGCAAATTGAGCCAAAAGGTAATCTAAAGCCAAAATGAAACATGTTTGTGCTTCCATCTGTTTTTTTTTTTCTTCTTCTTTTCCTATGCATATAACAAACTTGCCTGCAAAAGTTTCTGGTAATTTTAGCAAATCTCAAATACATGCAGCACATTTATTTTTACCATAATTAGAAAACTAAAATTGTGATGCCAAAAATTAAATGATTGGTTTTAAATGGCTTATTCCCAGGATTTTTACTAAATCATTTTTTAAAGTATATCTCTCCAAATGCCCCATGGATTAAAAATTTTCCCTTTATGCTAATTATCATGGCAATATTTATTTTTTGATGTTTTTTAATGATTTGCTTTGTGCAAAGAACAGACAGTAAGATTAAATAAAGTTAAATGGTTAACTTATTTTTTTAAATTAGCTGATAAATCATTAAACAATTATTTCAAGTGGTTAATACAAATATTAATAGAATAAGAGATTCAAATAAAAATGTTAAGAAAATTATTATATAATGAATAAAATAAAGAGACTAAAAATAAACCTATTTTGATGATTATAATACTTTGATATAAACAGACCTATAAATTTTTCAAAAGGAATATTCTTGTAACTCAAATAGCAAATTAATCTGAATTAAGAAAAATAACATAAATCCTCATCTCCATCATCCCATTTTAAACCAATCTAACTGCAATAAAATAAATGATCTCTTGAATCTGCAAAATGCTTTTAAACATCTGGTCATATAAATTTATGGATCAGGTACCCAAAAATAACATGCAATATAAAACTATACATGAGGTCTAGTGACTAAAACAATTTTATAAATAAAAAGCCATTTCTATTTATACTTCAATTATCAACTCTACTCTCATTCTGCTTTATATTAATGATCTAACTCAAAAACACACTCTGATCCTTAGTAAATATCTGATACAACAGTGTATGGGTGCACTTCCAAAAATCTAGATGCTCAAAGACTAAAAGATAATCTCTCATCTGACCAATCTCTCAATAGGGAAAAACTGGATTATTACATTCAATAACACCAAAACCAAACATTTCATCATCACCAAGAAGAGATTAAATTTTTGCCTATCATGATGAGCTGTTGTTCTCTCAAGGAGGCTCCTTGCTGTGAATACCTACTGAAAGTAAAGTTCAAACCAAACCTTTAAGTGGAACTCTCTCTCTCTATAATATATATATATATATATATAAAAATTCATTGCTAAAGATATAAAGCTACTGGGAAAATGGTCAGTTCCTTGTACTGCTCCAGAAAGTACTTGACTCCTGCTATGTTCTATCTGAGCCAGATCAAACCAAAAATGTGCTGCTGGCATATCTGGGTTGAAGCTTCCTATATAGAAGTCAAAAGTGCCTATGCAGCCTTGTGGATGATGAAGTATTTTCCACTATACTACCTCTTTTTAGACAAACAAAACATCACAAGCTTTCAATACTCTATCACTATTTCCATGGCAAATGTTCTGAAGCTACATTTATTAGTTCCACCAATCCAGACCTTCATAGCTAAGACTGGCCATGTCACAAAAACTGGGATGAATCATCTCATTCCTTTTGTATTCCAAATTCCCAAGAACCATTGTTTTGTGGAACAGACTCCTGAGAGGATGCATCTTCAATCACTACAATTTTAATCTCTTCAAGTCTAGGATCAACTGTTATCTTGCCTACATATTTTCATGATTTGCTCTTCTTATCCCCTCCTCTGATGTTCATACAACAACCTTATTCAGTAACCCTTTACTTTGAGTTGCTCTTGGGTCTTGTATTGGGAGAAAAATTAGAAAAAATAACTTTAATTGAACATACCAAATAATAATAAATAAAGAAGATAATGTGAATGCTCAAATACAAAGTTGAGAGTTCAATCTGAATAAACAAAATGCTAGTAATATAGTTAATTGAAAATATCAATTCTTTCACATATTTCAAAGACAAATAAATTAATTTATTATTATTTACACTCATAAAATTGAAATTAAAAAAAAGAAATATGTATCTTATTTTTTGTTCAAGCAAAACTTGGCACTGCACTTTGATTAGTGTGTGAGTTGTCAATTGCTAGCAAGATAAGCAAAAAGATGAAGCTGCTAGAATGGGAGACAGAAAAATATCAAAAGATAAATAAAAGTAGTTTATAACTTCAAGTAAAAAGGAGGAACCTATCAACCTGAAAAAATGTTTAAATCATTGTGATAAGAAAGATTAAATGTGATTGATTGAATCATTTGACACTAATGAGCAAGAGATAAAACAATCAAACCTTTCTTTAATTGATATTCTGCGGCATTCTCTTATGCAAACTGTTCGCTTTCAATAATGTATCAAGTGTATTGAAAGAAAAAAAATTCCATATTTCCAAAATTTGCTAATATATCCATTTTCATGAAGTTCTAAAAGAATAATATTCTACATTTACTTCTCTATGCTAATAACTTCACAATGCTTTAAGTACAATACATCATTATTTTTCTGGCTACATGGCTTTCAAACTTACTGGCTAAATGGTTTTCCAGGTCAAGTAAATATTAATTCAATAATACTTATTTAACCTATCATTTCAGTATCACTGCATTCTCAGGCACAAAATTGTTTTAGCTTTAATGATCAACCAAAAATTGCTATTGCAAACAGTGTTTGTGTATATATTTTATATAATGGCTGGTCACATGTATCCAAGTATGCTCAGGAGCTAGCTAATCCCTGCTGCTGATGCCTGCCCAGGCACAATTGTGTTTATTCAGCACCCACAGAACCCACCTGAGGTTTATACTGCAACTTTGCTGAACAGACCTCAGTTACAGTTACCAAGAGAGAATACATCATTTGAAGGAAGCAGCTTTAGAAGCTCTATTCTTGAAGAAAGCTAAGAGAGGAGCTTACACAATATAGGATCTGAAGCTATCCCAAGAGATTGTCCTGTGGAATGTTTTCAGTTTAGCATCAATTTTAACACTGATCAGTGACATTATATATATATATATATATATATATATAAACACACTGAACTTTGTGAAAAAAAAAGATAAAGATAATATATATATATATATATATATATATATATATTTTAAAGATATGGAATCATAGTTCTTTTAATCTTCTTTGGTTTGAATATTACATTTATTTCATTTCAATTAGTAATTACATTTTATTTCAGATATAAATATATTTTTTCAGTGATCACTCATAACAAACAAAACTTTTTTCCAGATGAGAAAAGTTGACAATTAATTTTTAAAAAAATCATTGATTCATAAAGAAAAAGCATTTTTCTTCATCTTGAAGTTGTTCTCTGTTCAAAGTGATCAAATGCAATTGGCTCCCATTTCAGAAATACAATATTTATTGGTTGCTTGAAATGAAATGAACATTAATAATAAAGATGAAACAGGTAAAGATAGATGTTTATGCGGTCAAGGTTTCCTTCTTTTTTTAAAAAAATAAAGGAGTATTTTTTTTTCTTACCAGTAGAAGTGGTCATATTAGATGGGATCATTTGCTACAGATGTAAAGTATCAGTAGAGTTGGGCAGAAAGTTAATCTGATATAGATTAAGTTAAATTAAAACTGAATTCTATATTAAAAGGACTTGAGTTATCTTGACTTTGAATGAAAACAATCAGTTAAGGTAATATGATGAAAGTCTTGTGGAAGATAAGGGAAGCATATTGGGAAAGATTTTTATAAAAATTAAAGAAGAAAATAAATTCAACATTTATAAAAAGTTCCCTTATCTATGCTATTATTAAACTATTAAAAGCACATTTTTCATAGAGTAAAACATGCTCAAGAAAAATCCAATCTATAAGCGTATCTTCTCAAGTCCAGTATAAATGCAACAAAGATTGAAAACGCAACAAAGCATAGTGAAATGGGAGGGAGAACATGAGTGGGTTGGTGATAGTGAAAGAAGGGATTGGGTTAGTTGGGGGGGAAGTGGGGATGAAATGAAGCAGTGAAAGCTGCTGTGCCTAACGCCTACCCAAAGCTCCAGGAGCAGAAGCAACTCTGTGTGCCAGTGCCAGTGGTGGCTTACCACTACTCCTCTGGAGTTCACGGTCGCTGCGGCGATCTCTGTTACGATCACGTTCTCCATCTTTGTTGGCTGCTTCAGACTTATTCTGTAAAAAATAAAAATAAAAAATTCATGAAGTAAAAATTAATCATTACATAGAGAAGGCTATTTTCATAAATCTTTCTGATTCTTTTTATTTTTTTTATACATAAATGATAATTTTGATCTTTAGGAGGAAGGGTTAAACAAAACAAAAATAACATTACAATTATAAAGGATTAAAAAAATCTCCAAAAGTTAATAGATTTACTAAACATCTTAAAAGGAACATTAAGTGAAGATTTTACATTGATAAACCTAGATAGAAAAATTTTCTTACTGAATATGCCAATAAATGTGTGTTTATGTGAAAAAGTAAAATGGAAAATATTCCAGTGTATGAAGATAGTAATCTAATATATTCCCTATAGATATTGCTAATTTGACAAGTAGCTCCAAAATGAAGCTGTCACACTATGAGAATGTCCTTAACTTGGTATGGTAAAATAGATTCTAATATTCTGTTTCTTAACAGATAAGAATATTACTTGATAAAACTCTTCAATTCCTATTTCACTGAGGGAACAAGGTCGTTAGAAGCATTGGATACATAACTGAGGCTTTTTGCTTGAAGAACAAATATATATATATATATATATATATATATATATATAAAGTGTAAATCACAGACAAAATATTAAATGTTTGATTGATGATGCCAAATAGTATTTGAGACAACTTTGGTCTCAGAACAAACATATTCCATATAGATTAAAAAAAAAAAAAAAGCACATAAAATATTTTCATTATGAATATGATAAACCTTTCATATAAAGAAAAACATGATTCCTAAATAAGAAGTTATTAAATATGAACTGCAGTTTGTCTTTTTCCCCACCTTTGTAATGACACTTTACTTGTGTGTGTGTGAAAATTTTTTCCTAATTTTTTTGTTTTGAATTATTTTTATTCTTTTAGATTTCTATACAAAATGAACATAAAAGAGAAAAGGTGGATGACAGAAGGCCAATCCATGTTTATATTATAGAGGATAATCTAATCAAATAAAAATTAACTTCATATAGTATCAAATTTTATTTCCTATCTTTCAATACAAACAATATAAAAGAAAGAAAGACATGATGGCTGTGTTCACAGAAAAATATCTAACACATTCACTTGATATTTTAACTAACAATGATTTATACATAGACCAAACAATGCAACAAGTTAAATGGAATAAATGTACAAGAATACTCAGATGTACACACATTCTGAAGCACAATAGTTCTCATGTGCTGCTCTTAATACTGTGCTCTTCCAGTGAGTAATCATTATAGGCAAAAACCAGTTCCTGTGTGTGTGTGTGTGTGCGAGAAATAGATCATATATATATATATATATATATTTTTTTTTTTCTTTTTACAGTATAGGATATGTAGCTCATAGTACTTCATATTATTATAAGTGCATACTTCTCTTCATGTTAGAGACAGAAAAGAATGAACTTTTTTTTTTTCCTTTTAATGAGTGATTGTATGTATATATTAAGTATATTCTCTAAAATAAGTTTTTAAAAAATGTGTTTTGTGGTCAGTTCCCATCTATCCCAAAAGAAATAGTTGGCAAGTATTTGACAAGACAATGATGTGTAACAACCGACCCATGTCTCCTACCATCATCACACTACAAACATCAAACAGCACAGTAAGAACTGGTGTTAGAGATTTAATGTCCATTTATTCATCTCTCTTCTACTATCAAGTCAGACAGCGTGAATGCATTCAACAATCTTAAGTAGAAATGTACAGGAAGTTATTCATGGTTCCAGGGCCATTAGAGATTCCATAGAAAATGTAGAGTTATTGAATCTATGAATTTTGAAACCTCATAATGAATTATTATTATTATTATTATTATTCAAAACAAATTATAAAGATAACAGATATTTTGTGGTTTTTAGTCTCCATTAATTACAGCAGTGACAGAAACTTCGACCAAGATATTTATGATGCATAATGAATATATTTTCTACAAACTTAAGGAGATATAGCAGTTATTAAATAAAGACAAGTGAATATGAGAAGATAGAATTTTCATGTTTGTTAGTTCTTTCAGAATAGATTTTGACTTGTTCCAGGAAAACAAGTTCATGCATATAAACATAACTCTTGCATATAAAGTTAGGATTCCATAAAATTTAGTGCACATTTCTTTACTTTTTTTTATTTGGTTGAAAAATTTAATATAAAAAGTATGAGAATGAGCCAATGTAAACAAATGTTTCTTTGCAATATAAAAAAAATTCATATTTTATTGTGTTTTTACTGTGAAGCAATAAATTTGCTGCTGCATATTTCAATAAAGAAAATGCATTCAAGTGCCAATTTTAAGATTGTTAAAAAATAAAGCTGCTTTCATTATGCTAGATTATTTCTTGGCATTTAGATTACAAAAGATTTTGGACTATTCAGAACAATCATAAGAGAAAGCAAACCAACATGCAACTTAAATGAATACAATTCATTCTTCTTTTGAGAGAGATAAACACTCTTCAATACACTTGACAGTAAAGATAAAATTGAAAACTGAAAAGGGAATATATGTTTCTAACTAAATTCTAGGCAACAGATGTTTTAAGGAGGCAATTTTTGTTAATGCAACATAAAAAAAACATTACATGTTTATATATCTATTTGCAAATAGATAATTTTGAATGAAGAATTAAGAAAACACCCCAAAATTTGAAAATAAGTGCAATGCTCATTAGGAAAAATGTGTTTAATGAAACAGACTTATAGTCAATACTTTTTTTATATGTGTGTTTGTAAAAAAAAAAAAAAGATAAAATGAATAAACAAATATAAACATGAAGGAATTATAGTTATTGAATTAACTAAATAGGAAAAACAGATTTTTAGAAACGCTGATAATCTTGTGAGACAACTTTAAAATGGAAATTATTCACAAAATTTGGACTTTTTCTAAGAATTACAAATAATATCAAATTTCTATCTATGACTACAAAATATGTAATAATCTAGTATCAATTTTGAACAGGGTTTTTTTTTCTGTTACTACAATATTCAACCAAGAGCAGAATAATAAAAGAAAATATAAAATGCATCCATTAAGAATATGAAAAGACAGAAACAAACATTAGAGAAATAAAATGTACTGTTACAGGGGGTGATTTCATCTCATTTTTAAGATATCTTCATGAACTTGTTTTTGCAAAGTCCCTCTTTCCTCACAAATCCATGTCCAAGAGGATGTTGAAAACTTCTTGGCCCAAACCAGTTTTCAAAATCTGACCAAATATCAAACTTTGTTTAACCACTTTGTTTAAACACTTCTTCATATTAATCAATTCAAACAAATATACTTGCATTTGCTCCAAGATTTGTCCTAAAATGAATTTGGCTAACTCTGAACATAAACCAGTGGAAATTAATTTCCAGATAAATTGATACCAAATAAAATTACTTGTATATAATTGGTGGTTTTATATTCCCAGTCATAGAGCTGACAGAATGTACTATAAAGTGTCCCAGATAATCCTCAGAATGCAAATATTATCAAGGAATAGAAGAAAATGTCTACAACAAAATGAAACAATTTTATTAAACAAGTACACAAAGATGGAAGGATATAATTTTTTTTCTTTCAGAAATCAGTGATTGGTCAGTAGTTTTCTTTGAACAGTTTTTTTTTTTTTTTTACTAACATGGAATAATAATTGAGGACTGCCATTAAATACTAATGGATGGATTGAGACATGCAGAAAACAGCCTGCATATAAAATAGTCATTACCCTTTTGGTATGACTGGCTTCCTGGAGGAAGAGGGACACACTCACACACATTATAAAAACTAAGTGGCTTGGCAAGGACACTTATAAATTATCCTTCAATCAGAATCTGGCAAGTGTGAAGCAATATGCATCAAGTTAACAAATGAATAATACAGTGACAAACTTTGTCAAGTCATAAAGAATGAATATTTTTAGGAAGCTAGCTGTGCAGTACAACTAATTATACACTAAGTTACCACATGGACTCAATCCAAAATCTATTTCAGGTATTACTCCACTCACCCATTCACAAACCAAACTCCAGAATGAGTACAAGATGATCAATAAAAACATAAAGCCTGCTTAAAAGTCAGGGGGAAATGAACAAGGCTTTGGACAGCAAATAATGGTTGACATGTATGAAGTTAGTCAAGTAAATATTTAATCACTGATGTGTGTACTTAAAATTTTATACAAACACCTATGGGAGATGAGAGTAAGCTATTATTTTTGTAAATTTAAAATATAAATTTAAAAATTCATCACAATACATTGAGTAAGCAACAATGAATTCCAAATTTTAACAGTCATAGAAAGTATAAACATACCTCACAATCTAACTTTTAATGCTAATAAGAGAAAAATGATCACAATTTGCTCTAGTGTTGTTAACCTCAGTAGAGAAGCAAAATGTAAGAAATGATGAAATCTATCTTATGCAATAATAATAACAAATAGTATTCATTTGGTAAATTTGTTAATAACTTTCATTTTCTCATTGTCAGATGAAGTGGACAAGCAAAATCTCTTGAAAGAACACGCTGACAACAATGAAGATGATGGTTATAGAGTTCGAAAGGTTTAAGGTGATTGATTGGCTTGTTGAATTTCTATGGGCAATAGACAAGAGAAACTGAGGGGGGAGAAAGTATTCAAAAAGAGGAGGAGAACTAGGTTGTGTGGAGTGGGCACCTGGTGTGAAAGCTAAGAATTCTAACAGACAGGCAAGAGGTGATAACAGAAGGTGAAGAGAAATGAAATGAATGTTGCAAATCAAATGTAATGAAGCAGCAGTAGAAAAGAACAGAGAAACAGCAGTACATTGATGATGATTGCATTGAAGAGGTGTCTAGAGAATGCCACCACAAAGTTAGAGGTTAGAATTCAGTCTATGGAGAATATCAAGTGGAAGGGACAAATCCTTGTTGCTTTAGTGTATGATCATCTCAGATTCCATGCAGTGAAGGAATTCTGGGAGTCCTATTTCATTATGCAAGTGGGTAAAGTGGAAATATCAGTGAGATCTGAAAGGAAAAGCTAAGTAGATTAGAGAGAGATAGGAGATTATAAGGCCAGCACCTGCTGCACCAATATATAGGGGTTGAACTCATGAAACTTTTAGTGAACAATACATTAGACAGACAGACAGACAGACCCCATGTTCACTTAAATATTGAAACTGACAGTCCCCATGCATTTTTATACACACACAATCACCCAAACCAGCACTTCTAATATACTATTTGCACTAGTGAAAATGAAGCATATAAGTGAAATCATTAGTTTAAATTATTGTTATTTCTAATTCCAGTTGCAAAGATCAATATTTGCAAATTCATTGATAATCAGTTAAATGTACATATTGCTTTCAAGAGCTGATATCATGGATTTCTTTAAGCATCTTAAATTACAAAATTAAAAAGCTTAAATGAGTATCCACTCATAAAAAAATACTTTTACATGGTCAGAGTAAATCAAAGGCAGTTAGGAAAAAGATTGTGTGTTTATTCAAATTTGAAATCACCAAAATGTTCGAAATAACATTAAAATAAATAAGTCAAGTCTGACAATTATTCAACATGTACATATTATTAATTTCCTCATTCCCATGATAAATTGAATGAAATGCAAAAACTGAAAGTATTCTTTCTGAAATAGTAAAAATAGCAAATCCTATGTACTATCCACTAAATGTCATCAGTATTCTCTGAACTTCTTTGTCATTTCAATAGAGCAAAGTAGTTGTAGGGGAGAAATCTGGTGAGCAAAACCCAATTTATGAGGCTATTAAGGTCTTGAGGTAAATGAACTGCCGCAATGGATTGGATGATTAGATAGAAATACACAATGATTAGATCTCATGAATATGCTAAGTGCTCCATGTCAGGCTGATGGCAGCTTGTCAAGATAATTTGATACTCAACTTATTCAGAGACTCGTTTGATGATTTGTGCACACAAAGTACACAAGCAAATAGAAATTGGAATAAAAAGTTAGGCTTAGAATTTACACTAAGAAATGTTAAACAGATAACACAAGAATGAAATTGGCAATTTACAATGTATACTTTTAAACTCCATAAAGCCATTAAAAAGAACTTGATATTTGGAAGGGCTGTGGTTCTGCCATGAAGCAATGTTAAATGTTGGATTGGCAATGACAGAATTCCTTGATTTTAATTAAGATCATGACCAACACTGATATGATTATCCATCTTCAAGTATGGCAGCTGAGACATTAATCTTATTTCAGCCTCATCTAT